GGAACTCATTTTTCACTCAGCAGTTACTTAGTAAGCACAGAGTTTGTGCCCAGCCTGTGCAGATTAAGAGTAAATACACCTGTGGTTGCTGCACCTGTGGTATTTGCCATCCATTGTAACAAGACCAGGTAGCCATGGTGTGATAAGTTATCCAAAGAAGTAAGGGTGAAAAGGACATAGGTGGTGCACCTCAGTTACTGATCTGGTCATAGTTTTTACTGTGAAATAATTCCACCAGTCCTTACCAACTACCTCATAACATAGGGGCTGGACTATCCCCATTTTACACATTGGAAAGCTGAGGCTTAGGGAAATCACTTGTCCATGATTATATGCAAGTGTTCAAAACCCCAAGGAGCCTTTTCCTGGTACCAGGGGTTGGAAATCACTTTCTGTCAGGGTCAGCAAGGAAATATTTCAGGCTTTAGTGAGCTAATGCCATCTTTGTCAAAGCTACTGAACTCTGAGATTCAACACAAAGTATTCTTAGATAAATCAGCTCACAAGCTAGGTTGCAACAAATTTTCTTTACTGAAAAAGATGGCAGGCCCAAAGAGTTTTCCCCAAACATGATTCAGAAGTTCTCAGTGGCTGGGATGTGTTTGAGTAGGACCGCAGGGCAGCAAAGTAACCCTGACCAAGTGTGAAGGTCATAAATAGAGGAATAAATAGAGACTTTAAGGTCCCAAGCCTCACACACACACACAGAGAGAGAGAGAGAGAGAATGCACCCTGGGTGCCTGACCAAAGGCAACTAATAGAGAAGGGGAGCAGGTGGAAAACATTCTGATCCCCACAAAAGAATTCATTGTTGATTTGGAGCCAGACTTGGAGTCTCAACACTAGTGTTCTTAGAGACGTCATATGAATATGGGAAGGGTCATGTACGAATGCCTGGATCCAACAGGATTTATTTGAAAAATTCTTAGTCCAGGCCCTGCTCGCATCCTAGAAGAATCTGTGCAAAGCTGAGGACAGAAGGCACAAAGAGAGTCCTGAATCTGTGTTCCAGGCTGCACTAAAGGGCCACATAATTGAGGACAGCTGCTACTAAGGACCAAATACATTTTTCTGGCCTCCATGGCCAAGGTGTGGTGAGATCACTACTGAGCCAGTTTGAACAGAATTCTTTTGGAAGAGATAATCTCTTCGTGGCTGTGCATCTGTAAGCCAGTCATCTCTGAGCACCAACAGCCAATTCGAAGACAAACTCAGGCAGAGTCAAACAGAAAGGCTTTGTGAAGTCACCAGCTCACTGGGACAAGGCAGACCCCTACTTTTGTCATAGAAATAATCAGATACACCTTGTGCTTTGGTATCATAGGGATATTTTTCAGAAAGTGGAGTACCTTGTCTGATAGACATCTCTAAGTCTTTCGTTCCTGGGAAGACAGTTGGCAGCAGGGAGACATTTCCCTGCAGGGCATTGATACATAGGGAATCCACAGATGAAGAAGGTTCTATTGATTCCCTCTGTGGAACTGCATTGCTTATTGAAATGCATTATGCTTCCAGTTCCTTGAATAAGGAGGTGACTATTTAAAATTACCCACTGTCCAGTCATCAAAAGATGAACCTTTGATGACCCCACCCCCACTTATCCACAGGTGCACTGTACCCACCACAGTCCCTGGTGAAACAGGCACAGGGTAGCCTTGTCATTAGCACCTAAAGTCATACCTCTCCATGTGTCCCACATGGTTCTCAAATAAAATGATGCACAAGTAAATCTGCTTCATCTTTTCTCTCCGTGAGCACAAGGGAGCTCACTGCCTCTTTGTAACTGTTGTTGTTGTGCTTTCGAGTCGCTTGCGACTCATAGCGACTCTATGTACAACAGCCCTAAACCCTGCTCTATCCTGTGCCAATCTCACTGCTTCTGACGCACCCATCCCAATTACCCCAGTCACTGAATCAAACCACCTCGTAGAGGGTCTTCCCCTTCTGCACCGTCCCTCCACCCTACCAATCATGATGTCCCTCTCCAAGGACTTCTCCCTCCTTACAACATGCCCAAAGTATGTCAGATGAAGCTTCAGAATCCTTGCCTCCAAGGAGCAGCCTGGTTTAACCCTCTCCTGGATGAATCTGTTTATTTTCTTGGCAGTCCAGGGTACATTCACTACTCTTCTCCAGAACCACAGATCAAAGGCATCAATTCTCCTATCCTCCTTAGTTATTGTCTAACTCTCTGATGCATAACAAGTGATTGCAAAGACCATAACCTGTATCAGACACACCTTAGTCTCCAGAGTGACACCATTGCTCTTCAGTACCCTGGAGAGATCCCTAACAGCAGACTTTCCCATCACAATACGTTTTTATAATTTCCTGGCTACTGGTGCCAAGAGTGTTGACCGTAGAGCCAAGCAGACTAAAGTTGTTAACAATCTCAATCTCCTGATGCTGCCAATTGGTCCAGTGGCGGAATCTTTGTCTTCTTGACATTGAGCCTCAATCCGTATTGAAGGCTGCAGTCCTTGACCCTCTGCAGCAAGTGCATGAGGTTCTCCTCAGTTTCAGCAAGTAGGGCTGTGTCATCTGCATAACGCAGATTGTTAATAGATCTTCCACCAATCCTGATGCCACATTTCTCCTCATACAGACATACTCCCAGATAATCTGGTCTGCATACAAGTTGAAAAGGTATGGAGATAGGACACACCTTTCCCAATTTTGAATCATGCAGTGTTTCCTTACTCTTCTGACGACTGCCTCTTGGTCCAAGTATAGGTTTTGCATTAGAATGATCAAGTGTTCTGGGATTCCCATTCTTCTCAGAGTCAGACACAGTTTGTTATGATCCACATAGTCAAACACCTTTGCATAATCAATGAAAAACAGATAGACATTCTTCTGGTATTCCCTGCTTTCAGCTAAGATCCATCTAACATCAGCTACAATATCCCTAGTGCCACGACCCCTTCCAGTAGGCAAATGCCCAGCAGCTGCGCACTGTGACCCCAAAGCCTGAAGTCTTGTCAGACTCTCTAATTTGTGAGAAATAAATGCCAAAGTCACATGCTCAGAGCTCATGAAGTTCAGATAATCGATTTAGGCCCTGTACTTTCTCTAAGTCAGTGATTCCTCAAATCTGCTGATCCACTGGAGGAGTCAGGATCCACGGGAGGGCTTGTTAGACAACAGTTGCTGAGTCCACTCCCCCAGGTTTCAGATACAGTAGGTCAGGGCTGGAGGAACCCAGTGGGACAGTGGTTAAAGCTTGGCTGCAAGATCAAAGGGTAGCATTTGCATAGGGACACAGTTCAGAAGGCAAAAAGGGCTAAGGAAGGAGAATGGAAATAAAGGAAGTAGGGTGATGATGTTACATTGATTTCAACCAGTGTCACAAAATAAATGTGCATGAACTCATGAATGAAAAACCAGTTTGCTCTATAAACTTTTGCCCAAAATAAGCATGAATTGTTGGAGAATTAGTCTGCACTGAAAGCTTCTTTGCCCAATTTATAAATAAAAGGGTTTTGTATTATAGTTACAGCCTTGTAAAGACTGTGGGGCAGTTGAATTGACTTGATGGCAGTAAATAGGTCTGGAGTGGAATCTGGGCTTCTACATTTCTCACAAGCTCCCAGGTGATGCTGCTGCTGATCGAGGTACCACATTTGGGAACTGCTGCTCTAAGGCTCACTCTTCTCTCATGGATTGAATTGTGTCTCTCAAACATATGTATTCTTAATGGTGTGATAGGGAAGCTTTGTAGTTATTCCCATGATCTGATAAACCAATTCTACTGGTTTATCAGGATGAAACACCTTAACCTATCCCAGCCCTGATCATAAAGAGGAACTCCCCTGGGCCGTAGCCTTTACACCTTTGTCTCACGGGAGATGAAAGGAGAAAGAAAGCCAGCAGAGGGGTAACAGTGCTAACACAAGAAGCTGGCAGCAGAGGACATCTTTTAGGCCTAGTTCCTCTCCTGAGAAACTCTTCAACTCAGATGGCTCCCAGAGAGTGCTTTTCCCCCTGGAGCCAAAGCCAGCACCCTGAGTGTGGACTTCTAACCTCCTAAACTGGAAGAGAATGAATTTATTTGTCTGTTAAAGCCATCCACTTGCTATAGCAGCACTACCTAACTAAGACACACTCTACTTCAGACACCATGACCAGATCAAGAGCAGTGTCTTCTTGGCACCATGAAAGAGATTCTGTGATAGTCATTGGTTAAGTCAGCCTTTTAATATTTCCACCTCTTCTGTCCAACACTGTACGTCCATGCAGGGATCTTTAAATGTAAATTTAAATTAATTGGAGGTAAGTGAGATGAAAAATTTTGTCCCATAGTTGCACCCACCACATTTCAAGCCTTGTGTCTCATATAGAGCACACATCATCATTTAAAATCATTTTAAGTCTTACTGGACAGCATTGGTCTGTACGAATTTCAAAACCTGTTTCTCTCTTTTTCTTTAAAGCGTGGCTGTCGACTTAATTGTACCACTGTAAAACACAGACAATATCCTTTTCTAAATGCCAGAAACAAAATTTCAACCCTTTGGATTCTTTCTCTAACAACCTCACTTACCTGTTTCTGACAAGTGAGAGGGCAGGTCACAGACATGTTAATGTGAAGAGATTTTTAAACCCATTCAAATATTGCTTCCATTGCCAATGTTATAAAAGAGATCTGAAAACTAGTAAGAGAAAGGTAAAGATACCCAGAGGTCAATCAACATGGAGATATGTTGAGTGACAAGAATCGCACAGCAGCCAATGGAGAACTAATGTGGCCAGGCACAGCCCCAGAAGGGGTGTCACTGGGTAAGGGCACAGGACAAAGACTGGACTAAGAGTGACTGAGACAAGGGTACCCTTCTGTGTTTCCAGAAAGAGTGTATCACTGACACATGCTGCAGAACATGGATGGAGGTGTTTGTTATGCCTTAACATCTTAGATTTGAAATCAGTGCTACTCAAATTTCCAAGTGCCCTAAGTCAAAGAGATGATTTGTGAAGCCTCACTCTGCAATCCTCTGTTACAGATCCGCCTGAACAGCAGAGGACTCATCTACTCAGTGGGCTTGCTCCTGGCCTCTGTTTTTGTCACGGTAGGTTTGCAGCTCTCTCTTCATTCCAGAGTTCACATTTTCACCTTCCCCTTGGGTTCTTTGGCTTCAACATCTTTTTGGACACCCGATGGGCTTCTGGTGAACCAGGCAAACTGACCTTTATGAATTCCTCTTACTTCTGTTTCTACTAAGCAATGAAGCCAAGCAACCCACCAGGGACCCTCTCCTTTTCTGAAAGGAAGCCAGCTCCCTCGGGAAGTCTGGCCCTGCCTCAGGTCAAGCACAAAGTGTTTACCCAAAGTAGAAAGGATATTCTGCTCATTCTGCAAGATTTGTCACAGCAGGATGAATTCCAATTACTTGACTGCTTGAGGTTTCTAAATAGCTCCACAAATACATAGACATGGCCTATACTCAGACTAAAAATGTATTTATTTTCTTTTTTAAACATAGAACTTTATTTTGTTTTTTATACATGTATTTATTTACACATATTTTATATGTTTATTTTATTAACAGTGCAGTTCTAGGGTATTCCACTATCTTAGCAAATACTGCTATTTGTATGATTTTATAATCCTAGCTTGATTGGCCTAATTGGATTTGTTTTTTTTAATTACTGTTCTTGCTGCCTTTACTTCTGGTGCTCTCCCAGGGTCTATCTTTGCCTTGGTCGTTTTACGTGTGCTGACTTCCCTTTGTTAGAGTCTGCCTTTCCTTTCAACGAGGTTATTGTTTGTCTACCCTTCCCTCCCTTCCTACCCCTTATAACCCTCAAAGAATATGTCTTTTGTGAATAAACCCTTTCTTGACTTTTTATAGCACTGGTAATTTGGGTGCAATCCCTAAGGTACACAGTTCTAATCCACCAGCTGCTCCGTAGGAGAAAGTTGGACCATCTCCTTGCGTATGATTTATAGCCTCTGAAAACCCACTGGTAGATCAGTTACGAGTCAGTTCCGACTCAACAACACACAACAACAGTCTCATACAGCAGATGTCCCTTTTTTAAACTTTCAACCTCACCTTTATCATGGTGGCCTAGTGGCAAGAAGCTGTGCTGCAATCCCGAAGGTACACAGTTCAAGGCCACCAGATGCTCCCTGGGAGAAGGATAGGCAGTCTACTCCTGAGCAGTTAACTGCTTCTGAAAACCTTCCGGATGGTCAGCTATGGGTCGGTTCTGACTCCATGGTACACAACAACAATATTTTACTTAACATTATGATTTTCAAAAGCAGTATTTTAGTTCTCTTTTTCAAAAACATTGTTATGGACTATTCCATCTACAGTGCATGAATCAGGTGCATTAGTATTTAAACTGGCATCCTTGCTCTTTAAAACTTAACAGCAGCCCTAATACAAGCATGTCTTTTGATTTTTTTTTTCAATTGCTTGGTATTTTCCAAATCCTTGTTATTTTTTTAACATATGTCCTTTTTTCATTGATTAATTTCACTCAGATTCACCCATTTATGTGAGGGTTTGCAACTTCACCATTTTAATTCATTATTATTACGTTTTTTATATGATTTGCATGATATTTTACAGAGAAAATTGATTTTTCCATTCAATGATTCACATACGTTCTGTTTCATGATACTGATTAAAATTTCCACTTCCTCCCTGTGTTTCCATTTTTATTCTTCCTTCTTTCCTATCTCTTTCTGTCTTCTAAGTTTCAGCCCTCTGCAGATGCTGCCTTTTTTATTTTGTAGACTTGATTGTATTCCTCCCTAGTGTCAAGGATAGTCTTTTAGGCTTGTCTGTCGATTGGCTGAGAGTTGATTGTGAAGAGGTAGAGGGAGATTTTAGTTCCAGCCTTGAAGGATGACTAAGGGTCATCTTCTTGGGAGTTCCACTGGTCTCTGTCAGACCTATAAGCTTTGCCCTTTTTTATTGTCTCACACAGTTTGCTTTGTCCAGAACTTCTTACTGTGTTCCCTTCAGAGCCGTCAGTATTAGAACTGGGCATCCTCTAGTTCTTCTGGTCTTACGATTGTGAATACTGAAGTTCACATGGTCCAGTAATGTTTTGGACTAATGATCCTTTGTCTTTTCCATTCTTCTTTGCTCCTGATGAGGACAGACTAATAGTTGTACCTTAAATGGATACTCGCTCACAAGCTTTTAAGAACTCAGTTGCTACTTATAAAAGTAGAAAGCATAAGTTTGTCTTTGTGGACTATGTTATACCAGTTGACCTTGATATCTTCCAAAACTATAGTCCTGAACTCCCAAGGTCAACAGTTCATTCCCTCAAGTTTAGTTATGGCTAACTTTGTTCATAACTTTAGTTCATTACTTTGTTGCCTGTTTGTTGTATTATATGCATAGAACAGTTGACCTAGAGAGAGTGATGCCAGGCTGCTCCTTGGAGGCAAAGATTCTGAGGCTTTGTCTGGCATACTTTGGGCATGTTGCAAGGAGGGACCAGTCTTTGGAGAGAGACGTCATGCGTGGAAGAGTGGAGGGAAAGAGAAAAAGAGGAAGACCATCGATGAGATAGATTGATTCAGTGACTGGGGTAATAAGAGTAGGTGTGTCAGAGACAGTAAAGTTGGCATAGGGTAGCTATTGTACACAGGGTCACTATGAGTCACAAGGGACTTGATGGCATATAGCAACAACCACCACCACAACATACATAAAGTTATTTCAAAAACATAAAGATATGTATGTAGAAATATTGTCTGCCAAAATTACATCAACTAATATATTTGGAAAGAATAAATTTTATAGTAACACATGGATGACCTGTTGTTGTTGTTGTTTAATGCCATCGAGTCGTAGACGACTCATAGTGACCCTATGAACAAACAGCCTGAGCACTGTTCGTACATAGAGTTTCCGGAGGCAAGCCATTTTGGAAGTGGATGCCACTCCTGCTTCCAGGCTTGATTTAGTCGCGAAGCTCCAGCCAACACTGTCCACCATGGGTGCCCATTACCACGATTGACACATCACTGTCACAGGCTTCAGCATCACAGCAACCACGAGTTACCTCTGTACAGCAATGCACAGACCAGTGCTATACCACCTAGAAGAATGTTTGACAGGAAGACAATTTGAACCTGGCCTGAGGGCCACAGGCCCAAGGGCCCTTGGGCTTAAGGCCGCCTCCTGGTTCAAACCCTAGGCCCAGGCTGGCTAGTCTCACTCCCGGGACAGAGCAAACCTGCACGTCAAACACATTCCCAGAAAAGCAGTCGACTCCAAAAGTTTGCCATGATTCCTGCACTACCACCACCACGCTCCTGCCTTCTGGCAAGGAGAGCTTCCCAAGAGCTGGGAGGAGCTGGTCAAACCAGGAACAACATGGCCACTACTTCCCAGCTGCCTTGGGCTTAAGGCCACCTCCTGGTTCAAACCCTAGGCCCAGGCTGGCTAGTCTCACTCCAGGGACAGAGCAAACCTGCACGTCAAACACATTCCTGGAAAAGCAGTCGACTCCAAAAGCTTGCCCCGATTCCTGCACTCCCACCACCACGCTCCTGCCTTCTGGCATACATAAAGATATGTATGTAGAAATATTGTCTGCCAAAATTACACCAACTAATATATTTGGAAAGAATAAATTTTATAGTAACACATGGATGACCTACATGAAGTAATTATCAATATACAAGTGTACTATCACATTTTCACACTAACAAACACTGAGAAGCAGTATTTTTCTTTCATTTTTCAAGATACTAATCTCTGGATTACATCTGGTCTATTGAAGTTGTTTGTTTGTTTGTAGTATTGCAAATATATTTTTATTATACTTGTTTATTTACAAATTTCAAATACATTATTTTCCAGACCCGATTCTTCCAGTCTCCCACCCCCCATCACATTGTCAACCCTATGATTAATCCACCCTTACATCTAGTCTATTGTTGATATTCAAATTCCAGATTATGAAAATTCAGAAGAGCAAGTAGAAAGTAAGAGAGCTCATGTACAAAAATCAAGGTATGAGTGAAATGTACATAATTCACTCTGGTCATTCAGGAGGCTCTTCAGGTCTGGCTTAATGTGATCACAGCCAGCATTTATTGAGTACTCACTGAACACCAGACACCACTGAAAATGCTTTCCACCCACAAGTTAGCCACTGAAATCTGGAGAAGTTAAGTGACTCTTTTATATTAGTCACAAGAGTAATTGGAGAAGCGAGCTGATATCAGATTCCATGTCTGTAATACTGTGCCTGATCTTTACTTCTGCATATACTGTGCTATATTCCTAGAATCTGTGGGAGACTGGGCCACACACTACTTGGACTCTTGAAACTGGGTTATTGGAGGACTAGAGAGAAGTAGACTTGAACACAAAGAGCAATAGCTCTTGAACTATAAATCTTGATTTACTATATAAATCTCAAGTTTGAGGTGCCTAAGTAGCCTGCCTCTGGAAACTACAAACGTGGAGAAACTATGAAAGTTTTACAAGTGTTCAGGTCTTTCGTTCATAGTGTCACTTTGAGTCATCTATGACTCGACGACACTCAACAACAAAAACATATACACACAAAGGAGAGGTTAAGAAAGCCACTGGAAACACAGGAGTTCAGATAAAAGGTCCAGGATAAAAACACCAAAATACAGATGACCTCTAAAGCAGTGCAATTGGACGAGGTCACCAAGAGGTGAGCAGGACTTCCCGTGCTCCTCAAGGCTGCTACTTGCTACCTAACTCATATCTGGGTGCTCCAGCACCAGGTCCCATTCATGATGCATGGACACATGAGGGCAAAGTGGCTGAAGAAACAGATGCAGAAGATGAAAAAAAAGAGAAGAAAGATGAGGCAGAGACTTAAGTAAAGAGTGTTGGAACCAATAAGCCAGAGAATGAGATGAATCACCAACTGCTGCCCTTGATACTGCTTCCAATGGCTTCACCTGTTGAAAGATAATTTTTCTTTTTTGTAAATATTTTTCTAATTTGTCAAACTGAAAAAAATATACATTTAAAGGATGAAGTGAGCAGTGGGCAGAAACGACAGGAGGCCTGAGATTGTAACCTTGGTACACTCCAGCAATTAGTGAGGAGCAGAGAAGAGCAGCTAGAGGCAGAGGAAGCCATGGCATGAGACGGTTTGGAAACCAGGTGAAAGAATGGGATCAAGGTGGAGGGAAAGACCACCTGTGTCAAGTACTGCTGGTGGGTTATAGGGGCCCTGGGTGGTGGCTGTTAGATTTTTTAATTCATTGGTGCTCTTAAAGAGATTGGTTTTTTGTTAAGTTATGGCAGTACAAGGATTAAGTGGAAAAGGTTAACGGAAAGGAGAAACAGTTGGTCTCTGCGATTACTTGCTATGCGTCAGAGAGCTGGACAATGACTAAGGATTACAGAAGAAGGTGTGGCGATGGAACAGAATACTGAACTGAACCCCCAAGAGAACAAATAAGTCTGTCCTGGAGAGGGTGAAACCAAGTTTCACCTTGGAGGCAAGGATTTTTAAGCTCTGTCTCACATACTTTGGGCATGTGGCTAGGAGGGTGAAAGACATGGAGAAGGACGTGGAAGAGTGGAGGGACAGCGAAGGAGGGGAAGACTCCAGATGAGACAGATTGACACTGTAACTGGAGTAATGGGGATCAGTGTGTCAGACTAAGTAAGACTGGCTCAGGATAAGGCAAGGCTCAGAGCTATTGTTCATAGGGTTTCTATGAGTCATAGGCGACTCCATGCCACATAACAACAACAATAACAATGTAAGGAAAGGAGATAAATGGAAATCAAGGGAAAATTATTTAAGATAAAGAAATAACAGCATTCTTATATGCCTAATCTAGCACGTGTTGGGAGAGGGAATATAAAGAGTCGCAAGAATTGCTCCAATTGAGATCATCTGGTGGATTAGGGGTAAGGAGTTGTTCTGCAAACCTAAAGAATTACTCCAATAAGAAGAGACAGAACCCAAATCATAGTGGAGCAGTTGGCTCTCTTTAACAGAGACAGAGTGAGTGGGTGCAGTGGTAGGAGTATGAGGAAACAGATAAATAAAGTCATGAGCTGAATGTGAGCTCCTGAAAGGGGGTCTTGGAAGGGGGAAACAAGGAAATGTAAAATAGTCATCTAGGAATATGAGAGGGAAGGTGAACGACAGAAGGACAACATGATTGCTGGGAAGCCTCAATGGCCACTGAAGATTTGAGGTCCTGAATTTAGAGGGAGTCTTTCTGATCGGCATGCCATGACATTCCTTCCAGTCTCACTTGGCTGCATGGATGTAGGCACAAGGTGGAGGGAGCCTGCTTAAACTAGGGTTCAACCAAGCCAGATGGCAAGGTGAGAAGGGGGCCAGGAACTGAAGGGATGCTGGGGAGTGAGTGCTGATAAGGTTTGAGCACCTCCCCAGGTGAGTAAAGGGCTGTGGGGTGGTGAGTAGCAGTGGATTGTCTGCTGTGGGCAGTTCCTAGGCTTGTGGGAGCTGGAAAGACAGAGATGGAACTTAGATGTTGACAGCAAGACTCGAGATGTGTCTGTTATTAATGATGGCAAGCTCTAAGTTGCTGGGCTTCCTGAACTTTCTGCTGATAGAAATGGCAGTGTCCGTGCTGTCTAATAGGGCCATATGGCCGGTGTGACTGCTAATGCAACTGAAGAACCAGCTTTTAGAATTTTGATTTATTCTAATTAATTTCTAGCAACCATAGCTAGTGAGCCCCATAGCAGTTAGATCTGAGGTGTGACCTTGAGTGTGAGCAGGGACAGATGAACCGATAAACCAGGTAAGCATAAACTTACCTGTGCTTGTTTTCAAGTCTGTGGTGAGCCTTGCACAATGTTCTGAGGAACATGTGAAAGTATTCATTACAGATGAGCGAACTGAAGCCTGTGTTGACCTCTCTTCCTGGGTACTCTGCCCTGTTAAGGACTGTAAACTGGCACAAAAGCTTTGATTCTGCAGGAAGTTGCTGTGGGTCTGGCAGAGAGACAGGTACCAACGAGACTCACAAGCAGAATCTTTCATGTAAAATAATTTAAAAGTGGCATCATTCACTATGGATCAGTAAATAAACACATGCAGTCTATGCTTTCCTTACTTATTGGGTAGCTGGACGCTGGTGAGAACAACTGAGATGGGAGGAGGGTTAGTACTCAGGAAGGAGTGATAGCATGGCACCCAGAATGGCCACAGGCCCGCTCACTCAGGCTTCAGGGAACTGGACAGTGGACAGCACCAGAAGGAGGGAGTTTGGCACTCGGAAGATTTTCGTTTCAAAGTCAAGTGTTTTTAGGGTGGGGAAAAAAGGGAAGTTGTTTGTAAGCACCAAGGAAGAAAGGGCACAGCTTTTCTACCTCCAGGGTAGAAATGAGAAAAATATCCACAGGAGATGGTTGTGACCTCAGAGAGCAGTGAGCACCCTTGCCCTTGACTGCCTGGCCTTTGCCCATGCTGCCATCCCAGTCCTTGCCCCAACTCTCTCGTTGCAGGTGTTTGGCGTTCACCTGAACAAGTGGCAGCTGGACAAGAAGCTGGGATGTGGGTGTCTGTTCCTGTATGCTGTGTTCCTGTGCTTCTCCATCATGACGGAGTTCAATGTGTTCACCTTTGTGAACTTGCCCATGTGCGGCAACCACTGACCAGCCGGCTGCCAGCCCAGGCCCGGCTCCTCCTTCTGTGCAATATGGGACCCAGCCACACTGAGTCACATGGCCTCTCCTGCGCTGTCCAGAGGCCTCTGCTCTGCCTGGGAGGCAGTGGCTCCTCTGCCTCATTCCTCACTCCTCCACCTTCTGGGGCCCTAAGTCCCCTAGCCTTCCTGCCTCCTTCATGTGAAGACTTCCAACATCCATGTGACTTCTCAAACTCCATTTTTGAACAGTGACTGAGATACTAGAAAAACTGGCTGCTAACTGGCCCAAACCAGGCAAAACTTGTTATAATTCCTCTTCCTTTTTTAAGTTATTTGATGGAAGACTAATCTAATTTATGACCTGAGACTGTTAAAGTAGAGAGAGGGTGGATGGATTGTAAGGGAGTGTGTGGAATTAACTTTTGTTTTGAGGTGATGTCTTAGGTTACCAGGTTTGGGGGAGGGGTGCTTGGCTTTGCCCCCCTCCCTTTTTCCTTCAGAGATCAAAGGCTCTCTTACATATTTCTCTTTGCTCTGGATTAGTTGACTATCCAAAGGTAGTGCTGTGGTGTTTCCTGGTCTTGATTCCAGGCACACTGGACTATACCTGGACTTAATGAGTATTGAAAGGACAGATGGGCAGAGGCCCAAGGACAGAGCATTACATTTTATACACAAGGAAGCCTCTGTAATCCTCTGGGGGTGACCTGGGGGGTCACGAGGTTTCCCAGAATGAAGACAGATTTTCACATGTCCATTCTGACCATCACTTCTCACTAGGTTCTTTCTAGTTTTTCAAGCAATAGTTGCAGTCTGCCCAAGGCCTTTGATGAGGTGGCCTGGTTAAACCATCCATCTGTGAGGTTCCAGGCTGTCAACTCAAAAGCTTCCCCAACTCTGAATCCTTAAGATGTGGCTTGGCATTTGGGGTGACAGGGCCGACATTGCTTTCCATGAAGAGTTATAGACACTGGTTTCTTGAGAAGGGGGAGATGCGCACTTTGCACAAACATCGTTAATAAAGTCCCAGTTTGCCATTTGGTATTGAATACACTGGACCCTGAAGGCTGGCTCTTGGGCAAATGCCCTTCCTCACAGTAAACCACTGCCAAGCTGACCCAGCCCTCCTGCTCATCCTCGAGAGATGGCAAGAGAAGGAGAAGACCAGAAAATGGACACTTTTAAAGCCACAGAATGTGTTAAACCAGACTTGCTCAAGGGCATAAGTTATGGTGAACATTTTTTTTCCAGTTCCCGCTCAGTATCCCTGCTAGATTTTGTATGATGCTATATTAATATGCACACTAATTCCATCAAATTGAGACACACCCATGCTTGTCACACTGTGTTTATTGAAACTCTGGGTCCTTGCCCAAGTAGCCCCTCATATTTACTTTGAGCACTGATCACTTCTCATTGGTAATTGTGAAAACAACCTGCTACAAAATGGCTGAATGTGGTGCACACTGAGACCAGCATTAGTCCATGGGCGCATACCCACAGAGAGACCAGAGAGGGAATCCCCTGTTTGGTCTTTCAGAGTTCTGACACATGGTTGACTCTGTTGCACATTTTACACTGGTTTATGGCGATTGTTTTCTTTGAACAGATGGTGTAAAATAAAGTTCTCTGTTCTGTATACTTCCATGAGCTAGAAATTACTTTCTCTCTTGGGTGTGGCCTGTTTTCCATTGAGAACTATGCATGGAAAAGAAAATATGCACTTGGTATGTGGTCAAGTATTTGCACTGTTATGGTTTCTAGGTTGACTTGCCTAGAAAGCTGGTAAGTGCTTGGCTGAGAGTAACTATGGAGAGGTAAATAAATCCCATACATGTGGAGAGCCCTTCTAAATCCTAACACTGGATCTGCTGTCCTGTAGAAAATGCAGGACATTGTTAAAAAATCCTTTCTTTTATCTCTGTGTGACAAGAAGAAAATCCCAGGAATGAAGGTGTATTCAAGTTCAGCTATATTCAAGTTTTCAATTCTGTATATTATTAACTTTTGGTCATGAAATTAAAATTTCCTCAAAGCTGATTCCTTAAATTCAACTCATTGCTATTAAGTCAGACTGGCTGACCTTCCAGTGGTTATGTTAGGTGGTAAACCATGGGGATAAAACTGGGTGTCTTACTCCTGAAGAGCCGCTAGTGGGTTCAAACCACCAGAGAGGATTATCTTTTGGATTAGCGGCACAGCTCCTAAAGGACTGCACCACCAGAGCGCTCTATTAAGAGACAATAAGGCATCATTATTAAAAGCCATGTTCTTACCTTGTATGACTCTCAAGAGACAGATCTAGAAATGGATCCAAGTTAGCAAATATTCCAACCAAAACTCAGATCAATTAATTTAGACCATAGGAGCCACAAGGGAACTCATGGCACTGACATTCTTTGATTATCTTAAAAACAGATTCCTGGGAGATAGGACAATACAAGAGACTTATCTTGGCTTGGATTATTTATTAAAATATTAGCATATCAACATCATTGGCAATAAGAAAGATGCAAATCAAAACCACAATGAGATACCATGTCAACCCAGTAGCAGAGGCAAAGTTTAACAGGACAGCAAGTAATAAATGTTGGAGAGGATATGGTGAGATAAGAACTCTGTGGGAGTTTCTTTGGTAGCATTTCTTAATTGAGATTTTAATGAAAGTTTATAGAGAATTTGGATTTCCGGTCATTCATTGTTGCACATTTTCCTCCATGCTCCCCCTTGTCCCCAGTTTGCTTTTCTCTTTGAAAAAAAAAAATTCTTTCATTGTTATACAGCTTCCCCCAGTCCACTTTACTATGCAGCTCTTACTCTGTACTCTTCTCGTGCAAATAATACCTAATCATATATTCCTTTTATATGGTTCTCTCCCTCATCTGTTTCAATGCCATTTACATTATTTATCCCCTCTTTTCTTAGTTATCCCCCAACCTCCATGTCAGTCCTATTTTATAACAATGGCATTATGCAGTATTTCTCCTTTTGTAACTGAAATATTTCATTCAGCATAATGTCGTCCATGGTCACCGATTTTGTATAATATTTTATGAGTTCATAAGTTTTCAGTGCTGTGTAATATTCCGTTATGTGAATATACCACAGCTTCTCTATCCATTTGTTTCTTGATGGCCACTTGGGTTTTTTCCAACTCTTTGCTATTGTAAACAAAGCTGAAATAAAGATGGGTGAGCATATATCTGCTTGGATGGTACTTCCAATACAATATTAAAGTGGTGACAGTGGGCATCCTTGTCTGGTCCCTGTATACAAGGAAAATGTTTTTAGTCTTTCCCCATTAAGAATGATGTTGGCTCTTAGTTTTGCATATATCCTGTTGAGAAAATGCCTTTCTATTCCAATTTTGCTAAGTGTCTTTATCAGGAACGGTTGTTGGATTTTTGTCAAATGCATTTTCAGCATCAATTGTTAAGATCATATGGTTCTCATTATTTACTTTGTTAATATAATAATTAACCCTGATTGTTTTTCTTATTTTGAATCATCCTTACATACCCATTATGAATTCCACTTGGTCATGTTGAATTATTTTTTTGTGTACTTTTAGATTCTATTGGCTGGGATTTTATTAAGGATTTTTGCATCTATATTAATGAGAGATATTGTTCTATAGCTTGCTTTCTTGGTAATACCTTTGCCTGGTTTTGGTATTATTATTTTGCTAAATCCTCTCTGAATGTTTGGTAGAATCCAGGTGTGAAGCCATCTGGTCCAAGACTTTTCTTATGGGGAAGTCTTTTTATGACCTTTTCGATTTCACAACAGAACCACAGGAAATTAACTCTATAATATCAGAATACTATGAAAAGCTGTACTCTGATAAATTAAAAAAACTGGAGGAAATAGACAAATTCCTTGAAACACATCTCCCTACCCAGATTGACAAAGACAGGTATAGAACACATCTCTTTTTTTTTTTTTTTTTTTAAGAACACATCTCTTTTTAAGGAGTGCTTTGCTTAGTCAGGGTCTCTTTCCATTCCAAATGAAATTGGAGATTTCCTTTTCCATCTCGTTGACAAATGGAATTGGTATTTGTATTGGAATTGCATTGAAGGTTTAAATTGCCTTTGGTAGGATTGTCATTTTCACAATATTTCATTTTCCTGTCCATGAGCAAGGTATATTCTTCAATTTTTCCAGGTCTCTTTTTGTTTCTTGTAATGTTTTGTAATTTTTTAAAAATAGTTCCTTTGTGTTTCTAGTTAGATTTACTCTCAAGTATTTAATCTTGTGATTAGCTGTTGTGATGGGTATTGTTTTTCTTAGCTCCAGTTCTGTATTCTCTTTGTCACTGTTGTTGTTGTTGTTAAGTGCCATTGAGTCATAGACAATTCATAGCAACCCTGTGAACAAAAGACCTGAACACCTGTGTAACTTGCATAATTTCTCCTAGTTCATAGAGTTTCTGGAGATAAGCTGTTTGGGAAGTGGATGCCACTCCTGCTTGTTTTAGTTGGGGAGCTCCACCAAACACTGTCCACCATAGTTAACCATTATCGCATTTGACACATCATTGTTACAGTCACTATAGAGAAATCCAATTGTTTTTTGGATGTTGATCTTCTATCCTGCCACTTTGCTGAATTGGTCAACTATGTCCAGTAGTATTCTCGTTGAGTCTTTAGGGCTTTCTAAGTATACTATGATATCATCTGCTATAGAGATAATTTTACCTCCTCTTTGCCAATTTGGATACCTCTTATTTCCTTCTCTTGCCTCACTGCTACCACTAAGACTTCCAATACAATATTGAATAAAGGAGGTGATAGTGGGCATCCTTGCCTAGTTCCTGTTCTCAAAGGGAATACCTTTAATCACTCTCCATTGAAAACAGTATTGGCTCTCGGGTTTGCATATATATTTTTTACTATGTTGAGGAAATTTTCCTCTAATCCTATTGTGTTGAGTGTTTTAATCAGGAAAGGTTGTTAGATTTACTCAAAGGCCTTTTCTGCATCAGTTGATAGGATTATGTGGTTC